GATATAGGCACCCAGGCGCAGTCTCCAAAATTAAATGGAAGAAGCCTGGAGATGTAATAAAATCAAAAACGGGTAAAAACAAAATCAATATAAGCAGAGCAACAGATACACCAGATTTTAATTTTAATTTTGATAGACCTGACGATGATAGAATTGTATATCGAAACATGTCGTCAATTTTAAAAACGTAACAATTTTATGTGAAATTTTATGTGATTTTAACAATAAGCTTGTGAAACGACGGAAAATAAAACTATTGTATAAAACTAAGTATTTTCAAATCCTCTGACATGTTTTTTCTCATGTCATACAGATCTAGTTGTGCTCAGATCGCAACTTTTGGAATGTCGTCCTGTATCAAACTGTAGAATTACGATTAAGTAAGTCAGTAATGTAGCAATGATCTGAAAAAGAATAGAAGAAACGCTATTTTTTACTTTAAAGAAATGATTTATATGCAATTATTAATACTCAAATGCTTATATATATATGCTGTTTTATAATCTCTTTTCAACAATGTGATATACGTGAATCATTCAAATTTAGTTAAATGGAAACTAACTCCTTGCAGAGAATAATAAAACCATGTTTTATAATGGACTTTATCGCAGCTCCTGCAGTAATATCAGGGCCATTAGCTCAATATCAGCACCAGTTAGATGCCTAAATATCTCCAGAGAAAGTGCAGGGAAAATACTGTAACCATGTGATCAAGATTATTTACTCACAGATCTGAAGAGTCCCCTATTGATGTCTTTGAAGCCGAGTACAGATATTACTGGCGGGTACAACGATATTGTTTGCAAGAAAGCGTTCACCTAGAATGAACCATAAAAACTGGGATATTACATGTATCAATTAGTTTCAGGACAATAATTATTTCTGTACTAAATTTTACATAATAACGTCGGTAGCAACAGAAGTGTGGGATAAGGATCTCTGTCATCGTTTGGTTAATTTAGATCGGATCACAGCTGCTACAGGTCCTGAAAGAATAGTTTTTGATCGCGTAAGAGAAATACTTTCATTGAAAGTACCCGTCAACGATTTCTTTGGAACGTCAGACTGTTTGTCAAATAATTTTCGTTTGCCCAAATTATTTATGGATTCAAGGTCGAAATTATTAATCACCTTTTTGAGTAGGGTTACGGAAAAAATGAAATTTACCAGTGCTAATATATTCCATAAACTTTTAGATATAAAATGTTTATTCTTTTACTTCAAATAGTAAATAGTGAAATATGCTTTTCAAGGAACGAGGGAAAAACACAAGCGTCCTGGACGAACTATTTGTCTCTCTTCCTTCTACGGACGTAATATTGTACCCATTCAACGACACGGAAGGAAAGATCAGGTTCGTCGGTTTGGATCGGGGCTGACACAAACGTTTGTGAATGGGGACTTCGGATTCATTAAACCGTTCAATGGATATTTTGGTTAGTTAAGAAAATGGGAGGGCGGACAAAGAACACACTGCCAACGTCCCATCCGGATGAAATCGATCGCTGGAAAACCAGAATTTTCTTGTTGTTAATTCACGAATGACACATTTCTGGGTTGATACCAAATTAAGTAATGTACGAATACCGAAAAAAGTAATTCCCCGATGAAGTCTGATGTTTTATGAAATTTGTGTGCTATAACCAGTAAAACTGGATTCTTGGACTAAGCCCATTATTCAAATTATAAATAAAATCAATAGGTTTCGAAAGCCAGATCTGCTTTCGCCTTCAAGTATGAAAGGGACAGGAGGGAAACCGTAGCTTCTGAGCCCCTCGTTGAGCTGGCCTCAGACTAGCTCAACAAGAGGGCCCAACAGATAAGGTTTCAGTTCTTCTCATTTCCTGCCTGAAGAAGGAAGCAAATCCAGGTTCCGAAAAGCTGTAGTTTTATTTTCTTATGTTTTGATGGACAAAATCCAAAATACCAGTTTTATAGAGTTGTGTCCCATTCTCCATAATTTGGTGTTTGGTAGGGGGGACCCATGTCCTTGCGTGGACTCAGTAAGTAGCTCTACATCCATTTTCACGAAAATCCTTCTATTGAAGTTCTGAAGTTCTGACAAAATAACAGGCAAATAAACAGACACAGATGGCGAAGTTAGCAGACGTATGTCTGCAAATTCTATTTTCGAAAGTATATAATAAAACCACGACACACACAAGTAGATATAATCGACAGGCATCTCGGCCGGTATTCAAACCAGGTACCATCCTAATACGGAGCCGGGATAGCACCAAAGCGACCTACATGGCGTGTAATGGAAATCATTTACTTTAATTTTACAAATTTAATACAAGTTCAATATAAAACATCTGCAAAAAGCCGTTCATTGTTTACACGTTACCCGCAACACAGCATGAACAAGAAATAGGATACACTAAAATCTTAATTTCATATTCTAACATTTTTCTATAATTTAAGTTTGAATTGGATTATGTAATTTTTGGTCAAATTTACATTACAGTTTTTAAACTGCTATAATAATGTTAAGACAGGATCAGATATAGATACATGGGGCAAAGTCTTTACTGTCAATTCTGATATAAAAATAATGAAGACATCGATATCAACAAAGAATCGGCCCTTAGACATTGTAGAAACTGGTAAGTATGTTAAGCCTAGTTTGTCTAAAACATCTTAATACAAAATAAATAGCTTCAAGAAGAAAGGAAAGTTGAGACAAAGGCCCATCAGAGGACAGTGGTAGTACAAAGTCAATGCTATTGATCACCTCAGCATTCACTGCACGACTATGCAGTTGTAGTCTGATGGTCTGTAAACTTTCTTGTACTTCGCTTCTGACCTGTAATAAAGTATATGATACTATTTATATTCAAGAGAATTTCATTAGATGGGATTATTAACAAATAAGGACAACATTTATTTTATTAACTCTCTATGAAAATCTGCATTAACTTGATTCAAAACACGCTGTTTTAATAATCTCTATGTAAGTAACATCTGAAACTGGAATGCAGGAAGTCCGTAGCGTTAAAGGTAGACGCTATCTCTCCTCCTTCCTCCTTCACCCCACTTCCACACCCCGCAGTCTCAAGATTACAGTCGTAGACTGTACCAGGCCCGGGCTCTTGCAGACCTCTGAACCGGGTCACGCTGAGGGTAGTTTTAAACAGCCGCGAAACACAACAGTATGATAAAACTGATTCCTTATGATCATTATTTATAGGCGGTTATTATTAAAATTTTGGAGAATAATAAGAACAGAGGATAATACTGCAACAAGATGGCTGTCTTCTGGGTTGTAGTGACGTGTAGTCTGGTAGATGTTTACCTCCGTCATCAGGGCCTCTGAAACGTTGGTAAACATCTACCAGACTACACAGCGCAACAACCCAGAAGACAGAAGTCTTCATACTCACCGCTGTGAAAACCTCAAATCTTTCAAGTCAGGAAATGTAGGCATTGCTGAATAATACAGCCACGTTCAGTTTGTCATTGCCTACAGACTTTCAACTCGCTCTTGTTCTCTCATGAATAGCTTAAGAATTAAGGGAGGATCTTTGTCAACCAAACCATAATGTTTGTGATTGGCCCCAAAAATGCCAGAGTTGTCTGCGGTAAGTTACCATTGCCAAATGTAGGCGGGTCATTTCCCAGCGCAGTCACGAGGGCGGTTTGCTTGGCTTGGAACTCCTTCACACTTTTTAAATTGTGCTTCTGCGTGTTGTCACCTCTCCCCCCCCACACACACACTCACACATAAGTCGCAGAGGTCATCAGCCAATACGATTCCTGCCACTTAAGGGTTCAAATCTCAGAGAGAAATTAAACTAAATTTCTATTTACAAAGGACATGGTATCTGCTAGGACAACCTCCCACCAGCAGCAATGTTTGGATAGACAAGGTTCTCCGCCAAGGCAAAATTCCAGTTAGCCCCATTTTAGTTGTAAGGCATTGTTTACCATTTCCAGCAATGCGATATTTACGCAGGAATAGCGTTAGAACTCGGTCCAGCGTTTATGGCCGCTGACCTTGTAGGGAGAGCCCAGTAAGCGGACCACTCAATGAAGATAAGAAGGTGAGGGAGGAAGAAACTAAGCAATTCTGATTGCCACTTGTTTCCGTCAGTCAGTGCAGTCTGTGTCAGTTCAGTAGTGTGGAAGCCTGATATTGTTGTCTTGCGATTGTGCTGTGTTAACAACATGACACCTGTTCGTTGCAATCTCCTTTCTGGTCATTGATAACGCCTCGTATCCCAACACTCAGACAGACAAACCACCGAAGTCTTAACCAAGGACGAAATTAAAGCCTGGCTATTGGAAAGAAACATCCCATTTTTTGACAACGTGTTGAAAGCTCAACTGTACGATTTAATCAAATGAAATAAGTCAATGCAAAAATATTATTTGATTGATCAGATTTTATTAGACAAAGAACGTACAGTGCTGAGACTTCCGCCGTACAATCCCGATTTAAACCCAATTGAACTCATTTGGGCAGATGGTTTGCAAGCAAGAACACAACATTTAAAATTAAGGACGTTGAGCATCTGTGTCGCCAGAGATTAGAAGAAATTGGACAAGAGGAATGGGATATTGTATATCAGCATGACATCCCATTTTTTGACAACGTGTTGAAAGCTCAACTGTACGATTTAATCAAATGAAATAAGTCAATGCAAAAATATTATTTGATTGATCAGATTTTATTAGACAAAGAACGTACAGTGCTGAGACTTCCGCCGTACAATCCCGATTTAAACCCAATTGAACTCATTTGGGCAGATGGTTTGCAAGCAAGAACACAACATTTAAAATTAAGGACGTTGAGCATCTGTGTCGCCAGAGATTAGAAGAAATTGGACAAGAGGAATGGGATATTGTATATCAGCATGTGGAAAAACTAGAACAATTTTATTATGTGCAAGAAGGCACAATCGAAGACGCTATTCAACGTATTATAATTGAAGATAATGGAGGGGACAGAAACAGCGGCAGTGATGAATGGAATGATATGTCAGGAGTGGAAGAATTGGAAGAGGACCGAAAGGCTGTGAAGAATATAGAATTATCTAATACTCTCTGCAGTGTTAATTTTCTAGTCATGTGTAGTGTAGGAAATCGACATTTCTGTGTTACATACAGTTCCGCCGTACAATCCCGATTTAAACCCAATTGAACTCATTTGGGCAGATGGTTTGCAAGCAAGAACACAACATTTAAAATTAAGGACGTTGAGCATCTGTGTCGCCAGAGATTAGAAGAAATTGGACAAGAGGAATGGGATATTGTATATCAGCATGTGGAAAAACTAGAACAATTTTATTATGTGCAAGAAGGCACAATCGAAGACGCTATTCAACGTATTATAATTGAAGATAATGGAGGGGACAGAAACAGCGGCAGTGATGAATGGAATGATATGTCAGGAGTGGAAGAATTGGAAGAGGACCGAAAGGCTGTGAAGAATATAGAATTATCTAATACTCTCTGCAGTGTTAATTTTCTAGTCATGTGTAGTGTAGGAAATCGACATTTCTGTGTTACATACAGCGGTGATATTTTATTTGGAGTTTATTTTACGGGCCTACTTCCATCCCTTCCAGGTAACTTCTGGTAAGTGACTCGCTCCGAGGTTCCAATTCACAAACCTCAGCGGCCAAAAACGCTGGAACGCAGTATACCTATTAGCAAGGGAAGATATCTTGCGCATGCGCAGAACTCATCCCATTGTTTGTTTTTTGTTTGGTTGTTATTGTCTCTATTAAACAAAAACTGGAATATGTCGATAGGGTTAGTGGAACACCCCAGTATAGTAATTTAATTTGTCTGGTTTTCTCCTTTATAGTTTATAATTCTTCTGACTAGCAATCTTTTACTCAGTATATCAACTTCAACAATGATACAAAGAATACTTGCACACTGCTCTATATTTTGAGCCTCGTTGCACCAAATGTAGACACTTATGAGACCGAAACCAGATCCCAAGCCCATGCCAACGGCTTTCGAAACATCTCCCTGCTTTCCCACAAGGTTAGAAAGGCAACCATACAAAGACAACGTCTGGATGGAAATAAATATAATAGAAAGCAGCGCCCAGACTTTGCCCATCGCTTCACCTGCAATAATACAAACATTAAATATTAATTATAAACAGGTTATTGTGTGACAATGTAAGTTATTCTTGTCTTCAGCAACTAAAACGCTGTCCCCCTTAACAGATACAAGTAATAATAAAATTATGTCTTTTACCTGTGAAATAAAGTTGTAATGCCCAAATATCGTATATTAAGCGTTAGGTCAAGATATGAAGGTAGAGATTCCTTATAGAGGGCAGTAATCTTAAATTACTGGGGGGATACTGGGAACGACCCGTTCTTCAAGTGCCTGAGCACTGCGGGACCCAACTTTTCGTTGGCTTCATCTGTAGATATTCAGTAGGACTCCTTGGACGAGGGATCGGCCCGTCGCAAGGCCTCTACTTGTACACAGGACAGCACAACACAGAATAACGCGGACAGACATCCATAGCTTGAGTGGGATTCGAACCTACGGTCCCAGTGATTAAGCAGCAAAAGGCCCACACCTCAGACCGCGCGGCCACTGAGGACCCCTAATCTTAGAGTAAGATGTGCTAACTTTGTAACACTGAAACCTACCTGTTTGAAGCACTAGATGGCTCAGTCTCAGCCACAGGATTCTGTACCCTTCTACCTCCTGTGCGGAGACTCTTTCAGTCATGCAACGCTGCGTAACAGATATTTGATTAGCCAAAAATCCGCAACATTCCTCCAGTAACAAGTAATATGTAATTTTTATCACGTTTAAAAATACTAAACAATAATTTACAATGTGTTATTTCATATGTAAAAGCAACACTATTTTGAAGACGGACTAAGATTTTCCACCGGTTTTGATCCTCTCAGGTTTATGAATAAACAGACACAGACATTTTCTTATAATAGCACTTTGGGTAAACAAAAGTATCTTGAAGCGTAGGTAAGGTAAAATCTAAAACTTTCATGCTGAAGCAAATTAATAAAGTCTCTCGGTCTTTCAGCAGTATCAAGTGGTAAAACCTCGCCGACGTTCGAGGAGGCGTCTGTGTCCCCATCATCAGGGCTTCTGATGTTAGATGATGATATCCCGAGAGGATTTTATTAATTAGAAACTAATTTCTGTTCCAGCATACGAGGTGCGATCGGAAAGTTTCTAGACTGCGCCTATAAAAACCCGTACACTTATCTCAGGTATTAAATTCATCCATCACCCTCGAAATAGTTCCCCTGGAAGTGAACACAACGATCCCAGCGCCGCTGCCAAGCCTGGAAGCATCCCTGCTAATTCGATGATGCCGGCTGGTACACTGATTCACTATGAATGTAGGCCGCACCCCCTAAAGGCAGAAGCTCGTACTACATCCGGTTCGCCCGCTATTGACACAGTCTGGAAACTTTCCGATCGCACCTCGTACACTGAGCGTCCTGCTTCGTAGTTGTGAGACGAGAGGTTCAAATCTCGGCCCGATGACCGGCTATCCTGACTGGGGTTTCGTGGTTTTCCTCACTCCCTCCAGGCAAATTCCGGGATAGTACCTTAAATTAAGCCACGACCGCTTCCTTTTATATCCTTTTCAATTCGTAACTTACTTGGATTTATTCTTATGAGGTTATTCTGTACCTTGCATATGTCAGATATCAATTACGCAAAGGGATCAATCTGCTTAATTCGAATCTTCATGGCTTTTCCGAGGCATGCGACTACGTACGAGGCAAAACAAAGGTAAAGACTACATGTCGCTTCAGCATTCATATTCGTTGCTACCCACGTGATTAGAATTAGAGGCTAGCGTTGAAGATCTGATGATGACGTCTTAACGTCGGCTAATGGCTATTTTGATGTGCCGGATGGGCACAAAAGAACTTAACACTTAATATGATACAGAAAACAAATACGGCGTACTTTAAACTTTATCCTTGCACCAGTCGGTAGATAAACTCTCAGAATTTGTTCACACCTCACAGAGACTCGATATGTGTTCCGCGAGTCACAAGACGATAACACAAGCCTGCGATAATTCGGCTGTTTAAGTAAACACACAAAAATCGATACGCTGTTTTCGAAACTGGCATCAGTTTTGGCTTGCGGATTTTACGCATTTGTATTATTATATGGCTATTATCAAATCCTATATAAATTATTTAAAATTGCGTAATTTAATTTATGATTGAAATAAAAGTGTTGATAATGCTGGCGCACTTTTGTGGTACTTAATGCCGGAATTAAACACCCAAACCAGTCATCAGCTATAAGACCTATGATCCGATTGTTGTACTACCAGCTCAGTTGAAGGACGTCTGGTCTTCATCTAATTCGGAGACTTTATGAAACGAAGACGTGTTTTTCTCACCAGACAACGGAGACAAGACTCCAAAGGTATTTACCCAAATCGAGTTGAACTCTTTAGTGCGGGACTTGGGTATTATTAAGGAAAGATTTCATGAAAAAATCTGATAGCCCAAGGAACATTTCATTGGTCTGGTAATCTCGAGTAAGATTTTAGGATTTTCGTTAGAATGGAAGGCTATGATTTTCCTCTTTTGATTAATCAAATGAGAGAAGAAACTTATGACCCGAATGATTGGCGCTTGTTTTTCGATTATTCGCAAAGACGCTT